AGTGGCAAGATAGGCCAGTGTCCCGGAGCTTTCTGCTTCGTGTGTGTGTGTGAGTGTGTCTGTGTGTCAGTCATTCACACCTGTGCGCCATGACTTTGAAGTTCACGAAACGAACCGCGAAGCTTTTCGTGAAAGAGCGGCTCCTCAAGATCCGAAACATCTGGCGAAAGATCGATTATCTGAGAAGCTCAGAGCCTTGACTTGGTGTTCGTTCACGTGATGTTTCTTCTTGGCTGATTATTCTAGTCACCTAAAGGCTTACAGCTGAGCTGAACGATTTCTGAGGAGTGGGTGTCTGCTCGCGAATTGGCCGACACTCTGGCGGACCTTGCTGCCGACTACGAGTGTCAATGGATGTCTCAGGAGGACAGGAGATGGGAGGGACCGGCTGAAAGGAGGATGACTGAATCCGAAGCATCCACATCTGCGGGTTCCGAGCAAAGCTCAGGAGCGGTGAAGAACCCGCTGTGAGGTGTTTTACATAATTAGTCTTTTATGCTCCAGGTTTGAGAATCCTTGGACTAATTGAGTGATTCGTTTGCAACCGCTGGCAATGGCTCGTCACGCCTCAGGGGCTTAGTTCAGCCATGCAGGAAAATCAATGCATGAGTCGGTTCTCGAAGTCTTCAAGTTCCCAGAAACGATAGGGGTGCCAAACAATACAATCCAACATCGGGGCCCACGAAGAAGAAAATGAATGTACTCCCGAGATTTGACACCAGTACAGTCATCAGCGCAAATGGTTGTAAACCCTAGATATGTGTCCGGGCAGAAAGGGGTAAATCAATGTATTTCTGGGACAGGAATTCGGGCCGCCGAAAATACAACTATCTGCGCAGATGGTTGTATTTCGTCAAGAGGAAAGCGCCAGTGATGTATTTTGGGAAGTTAAATCCCAACATCCAAAAATACATCACTGGTGTAAACAAAAGAAAGAAATACAACCATCTGCGCAGATAGTTGTATTTTCCGGACATGGATCCAAGACCGCAAAAATACATTCATTTGACTCCTGGGGTACAGAATCTGGAGTGAATCTATGTCACACATCCAGGCCCCCAGAGAGTTTGAATACATTCATTTGCGCAAACTGATGTGTAAATCCGGTGTAGAGACAACAGACAAACAAAGAACAAACATTACAATCCCCTAGACCTCCAGTAAGATCGATGCTGAATAACATGAGACATGATATACATGCTGTACCTTCTGTAGAACACAGTCTGAGAGTGTTTGCGATTGGGTTTCAGCTTCCCGTCCTCAGACAAAACCCCAACCGCCATGTGTGTCTTTTGATCTCAACCTAATGTCCGGAGTTGCTTCATGTGTGCCAGTTTGTAATCAAAGTGCTGAGCCATCCAAGGGCTCTGGACCCCGAGATGCGAGGGGTCATCAAGGCCAAGGATGTGAAGTTCGAGCCGGAGAGGCTGGGCTTCGTCCTGGAAGCCCAGGGCGATGCTCAGCAGCTGTATCTGGAGCAAGGTCAGTCGAAGATCCAGAATGCTTTGAAGCAGGCGGAGCGAAGTGCCTTCGACTTGTTTCAGAGGCAGCTGCAGAATGATCAAGCCCACTTCAGATCGTGTCTTGGATGAAAAGACAATGTGTGAAGCAGGTTCTGTCATGCTGTGCTTGGTTCCTGTTGCTTCTGGATATGAGACACAATCGTCTAACCAAGCCTTCTAAGGGAGATGCTGCGAACCTCCGGTGATGCGGAGCGCAAGCGGCAAGCGGCTGTGTCGCTGCTGGAGGATTGCTAGCTTATGTTTGTTGCGTTGGCCAGATGTCAGTCTGATTCCATTTATGTGTGCCCTGCAGACCCTCCACAAGACCGGGTGGATGCAGATCCGCGCCTACGGTGAGGACAACTTTCCGGTGTTCAATGTGGCTCCCAAGAAGCGGACTGGAGTTGAGCGGGACTACGAGGTGAAGCCATTGGATCCGCAACTGAAGCCTTGGCTCTCTTCGGTCATGACGGGCTTGCAAGGCGGTGTGCGGAATGGCAACAGTGAGTCGCTGGTGTATGTGGCGAACCTGGTTACCCAGGGTGTCGTCAGTGCACCGAAGGTCAGCTTCCTGGTCCAGTCCTTGCAGACTGGAGCTGCGAACATGCCCAACTCGTTCGTGGGCCTCGTCTTCATGCCGAACAGGGCGAGTGATGGACGAACGAAGACGTGCCTAGGTTGCATGATTTTGGAGGTTGATAGATCCTGTCCAATGCAATCAAAGTGGGCTTTTGATGCACCACCCCTCCCCTTTGTGCAGGAATAGGAATAAGCATGGGCCGAGGATCGAATAAAGGGTTGCTCCAACCCGATATATTAATCAGACGGGAACATGAAGTTCAGGACCAAAACAGTATCTGGCTGCAAGTCTTACTGCTGTTACTGGTGTGCCGAACAAACAAGCAAAGGAAAGAGCAGCAGGAGCAGGAGGAGAACGATTTGAACAAAGATGTGGTGGATGACGAGGGCAACGATGCCGACGGGGACAGCAACAATAAGACCAAGGTGGAAGCATTGTCGGCCCTGCGTGATTTCAAGTACAACCTCCTGGTGACCCTGCAAGACCCAGCACGAGGCCTCGAGGTGCGCACCCTCAACATGATCTTCGATGAGTCTACAATCTATGGCCAGCGCAATGCATGTCATGAATGCTGGTTGGTGACCAGCAACCAGGCCAGCACCTTGACCCGGAAAACGATTTTCAAAAGGCTTGTGATCGACAAAATTCCGATGCTGCCTCGGGCGGTGGCTTGGTGTACTTCACAATGTCTGTGCTGGGGTGTTGCCTTGATCTGGCATGGCTTTGTGACGATTTTGCTTGTGTTTGAGTTGAGTGTCTGACTGAGGAGATGGTGAAGGTTGAGGTCGGTCGCAAAGTGTGTGCCGATACGGATAGGCTGTCCTGGGCCCAGGACACTCATGGCATTCACAAAGACTCGCTGTTTGATGCAGATTCAATTGTTTGTTGTTGCTGCTCTTATAGGTTGTTTTGCTTGGCAGGAGATGCGGCAGCACCTGGCCGGGACCGGGCTCATCAAGCGGGTGTTGACTGCATTGGATGTGAACAAAATGCATTCGGTGGTCGTGGACCTCTTCGCGCACGACGGCTGGATTGCACTTGCAGCCTTGCAGATGCAATTGGAAAATTCCAAAGTTGTTTGTGCCATGGTGGCGCACACCGACGTGGAGCACAAGTTCTGCAAGGAAACGTGGGTCATAGTCACAGACAGTCCCTTGACTCTGCTCTTGCATTCTGTGTGATTTGGACTTCAGGACGTGATTCTACACTCCTTGTTCAGCAAGGCAAAGTCAAAGCAAGTGGCAATCACTGGGTTTCCGGACTTTGCCGCTGCCATGGCGGATCTTTCAAGGGTGCACACGAGTGAAGTCCGGTCGGATTATGATTACCAGGTGACTGTGCCGGTGGGCGGTTGCCTCATCGTCCTCCAGGTGCCCTGGGATTTAGGCTTTTGGTGAGGTGTTGCTTGCAGCTGATAGTGTTGCTGTTGTGGCCAGGCACTGAAGACGAAATTCGAGGCATCCCAGGTGGTTGCTGATGAGTTCCGAAGCCTCCTGGAGAAGCACGACCGCGACTTCAACCGAGATCACAAGACGGCCAATGGGCCTGCAGCTGGGGATAATGAGGCCAGGCATAACCGCCAGAGCCCCAAGAAGTTGGAGAAGACCTTCGATGATTTCACGACATTCCAGGCGGCCCACCCCGCGTGTCTTGTCTGATCTCAAAGAACATGCTGTGTATGTTGTTACTGTTCTTCAGCTGTTTTCCCAGCAATGGACAGACCTGCATTCGGAGGCTGATGGAGTGTGTCATGCCAGATTTCAGCATGCTTTATGATCTGGAAGATGCGAGCCTCTGGATCAACAGCGACAGGATTACGAACATTCCATTGAATGTGGAATTCTTTGGATTCGGATCCGGAGATTTCGCTGGCGGTGCCACAGCCAACGATGTGCTTTCCGACCCGGCAGGGCGGTGGTACCGGTACTGCATGACCGGCCCAGTGAAGGACCTGCTGGTCATAGTGGAGTGTGACCGAAAGTTGCCGGAGGAAGTCAAAAACTTGGCGATTTGGAACAAGGTCACTGGCATGCAGTCAATGTAGCCACTAAATCCAACATTGCATGTGTGCAATCAAGTCACAGTTGATTCCTCATATGCATTCAAGTCATAGTTGATTCGTTATGTGCATTCTGGTCACAGTTGCTTCGTTCTTCACTGATCAGTCATGTTGAGCCTAAACTTTAGACATAAACCTTTTATAGGTGAGTCTGTTCAGGTCATGTCCCTCAAAAGCTTCTTGGTGGCCCTGGAAGATGCTGGGGAGCTCGTGACTATCATGGGCCACACGAAGACGGAGGACGAGCTGACGTGTAATGAAAAGATTGTTTTCATTATGGATCCATTGAAAAGTGGAGCGAAGAAGCGCAAGCTTTCGAAGGCCTGCAGTTGTGTGCTTTGTTCCGGTGTAGAGCTTTGCTAAATATGTGTCGGTGTGTGCCTGTTTCTGCGATGCGGCTTTGAGGCCCGCCCGATTACTTTCGGTTCGTACATGGAGCCGGCCAAAATTCGTGCTCTTCGCCGTCCTTTCCATGTGACATGGCGTATGAGGCCGGTCTACATCTGCCCTCCAAGTGATGATAAGTTCTGACTGTGCAGTCACCGACAAAGCTCTGCTGGATTCTGTGTATGCTTGCCAAATCTTTTTTGCTGATCCCTTCAGGCTCACTCATCATCGTGTTCTCTCACCCGTGAGGCCTGTGCTCCTTCATGGCCAAGAGATTCAAGTCACGCCGGGTCTGCTCCGACTTTTCTGAGATGAAATCTCTCGGGGTCACTGTGACTCGGGGAAACCCTCAGGTGGCTGCACATGTGTGTGTGTGTGTGCATGAAGGTCTGGTACTCATCTGATGTTAGAATAGCTTCAAGACCAATTCACTTGTGTGGCATCCTGTGCTGGGCCTTCTCTCTGTGCAAACAAAATAACAGCTACATCCCACATCCCACTGCATGACTGAATAAGGCTGCCAGGCATATGTGTTGCCGCCACTTGCCAGCCACAGCGCAGACACCTGAGGGATCACCTTAGAAGGTGTTGGAGTCACTACTTTTGCTGGAAGAGTGCCGGTCACCTGACATAGGGTGCTCTTATAGTTCTTTGCCTGGTTGCCCTGTCCAAAGTGCAAACGAACAGAGAACTACTAGGTTAGGTGCTGGTCCTTACAGACCTAAAGCCTACTGTTAAGACTCAGATGTTCAAGTGAGAGGTGATATGTACACTAAGCAGATAGGATATATGTGTTTGGGCCGGGGCAGCTGGGCTTGCCGGGGCGATTTCTCATCCATCGTGCGCACAGACCACAATGTACTGTGGCAATGTGCTAACCCCTGCCTGACCATCCTTCAAAGCTGGTCTGCTGCTGCAAAAGCCCTGAACGACTTGAGTGAGGCCCAGGTGCCAGGTAGCCAGCAGCAGTCGTGTGTAAGCAGTGCAGCGCAGTAGCAGCAGGCGGTAGCAGCGGGCGTGAAGCGCAGCCGGTCCTGCAATCAGAACTCAAAGGATTTTGCGGCTTCAGTGAAGATAGTTTTGCAGTGGGTCGCTGGGGCGTCCCATGGCGACAATTCACAATGTGCCTAGGCTGCTCTGGCAAAAACACTAGAACCTATCTAGGTTGGATGTACTATGTGTAGGAGGAACTCCTGAACAATCAAGGTGGATTCTGTGAGCACGGAAAGCTCACCATCGTTCACTGTGCCGGTGTTTCAGACGGCTGACTACGAGGGCGAGCTCCAGGACCTGAGTGCCGTGGCAAAGAAAGCCGAAGGTGGCTCAGCAAAGAAACCCAAGGACGAGGAGCCCGGAACCATCAAGCGGCTGCCTCGTTTTGAGACGAAGGACAGCAACAGTGCTGATGGACAAGAGCAGGGCGAAGAGGAACCAGAGGAGTTGGACGAAGACGATGATGATGAGGAGGACGAAGTAAAGCCCAAAAAAAGGCCAAGCCGCAAGAAAAAGAAGGGCTCCAGCAGCGATGGTCCAGACCGCAAAGTCAAGAAAAAAAAGAGAGATGAGGATGATGATGATGATGAAGAAGATTTCAGTGGCGAGGCAGGTTCATTGGCATGACCATCTCTGTCTCCCTCTCTCTCTGTCTCTCTCGCTCTCTCTCTCTCTCTATATATATATATCTCTCTCTCTCTCTCTCTTCCTTGTCCTCCCTCTCCCCACACATCTACACACACACAGAAAATTGACGCAGATACATATACCTTTACATATATATGTATATAGTATCTACAAATAATTTTCTGAGTGTATGTGTATATGTTTCTATACATGTATATTCTCCTGGCCCAGAAGAAGAAGAAGCCGCGGGCGAAGGCGAAGTCATCCAAGAAGGACAGCGGCGGCCGAAAGAAAAACACTAAAGATAAGAAGAAGAAGAAGGCACCCAAGAAGAAAAAGCAAAGCTCCAGAAAAGGCGGGCGCAAGAAGGCCAATGTGGATATGACGGATCTCAACTCTCTGGCAGCTTTGATGAAGGACCCTGCTCATAAACAATAACAATAAGGGTTTGTTCTTTTGTCTTATGGAATCTATGGTGAATGTGTGTCACGTGACATTCCTGGCAGGATGCCGAGACGATATTCGCGGGGAGTTCTCAGATTGATATACAATCGTCTGAAGAAAGCAGATGCTCTGAAGATGAAGAACCTTGGCTGCAACCCTGAAAAGGCTAAGCCCCAATGCCTCCGGTCCCGAAGCTTGAACCCAAAAGCCTTTCGAGCCTAGACCTATCTTTAACTTAAGCCCTGAGTTCTACTATCACTACAACTTGTAGACACTTTGAGCTGGATCAGGATGAATCTGTGTCCTCCTCGACGGATCAGTCTTCAGCAGCTTGCCTTGGATGTGGAGTTATTGCTCACTTAGACTTACGTGTAATAATGCCAGAATTCAAGCAGGGCTCCCGCAGCAGGAGGGTTCCGGGTTTGGGTCGTGTTTTTGTTCGTAGGGTCCGAGGCTTCAGAAGCAAACGTGCTCTTCTTGATTGGGACTTTAAGACTGCAGGTTTTGAAGGGTATGTGTTGTTGTTTTATAATCAGGGATACAACCATTACTTGAGTGGCACTGCTTCAGGACCTGCTCCAAACTTCCAACCTACCCCCAGGCTTGTACGGAGGATCAGCTGTGAACGATACACATTGAAGCAAGGTTTAGGGATTTGGGATTTTGGGTTCCGCCCTCCTGGTACGACCTGTGTAACACAGCCCCTTAGATCCCAACTAAAAACCTTAAAGATTCCAACCGAACTTCTAATCTTTTAAACCCTGGAATCAAACCCTTCACTTCAGAAGCCCTAACTCTGAAATCCCACAAGCGTCCTAACACCCAGAACCCATGACCGCTATTTATTCTCAGTGCTAAAAATTAGCCTTTGTTTATGGTGGGTGTGTGTGTGTTGAGGGAGCAGGGGCCCTGAAGCTTGCGCGGCTTTCGAGGGTTACAGGTGCAGGGTTATTGTCTGTCAGTTGCATAGGCTACTCGAGGCCTCTGCTTTCATGATCGAGAAGATGTAGAACCAGCTTTGCTTCGCCATATAAATCCAAATTCCGGACACACACACATACATACATACATACATACATACATACATACATACATACATACATACAATCATACATACAATCATACATACAATCATACATACAATCATACATACATACATACATACATACATACATACATACATACATACATATAGGGCTTTATAGCTTAATCCTTGTTGGGTAGCTAGGGCCTAGCCGTTCCCTCCTTCCGCGGCTTGCCTCAAAGGGCCTTCGGTGGGGTCTGCTGTTTCGGGCTCTGGGGATTCGGGGTTCCTGGGTTAGTGCTTCGTGGGTTTATGAGGGTTTTGGTGCTTCAGGTTTTTGGGGCTTGTAGATTGAGCTGGAGCTTCAGGACCTCCGGGGGTGCGTCCAAGGTCGACAAGAGCCCGAAGCTACTGTAGAAGCCTATCTATATAATTGTCTCCTAGTACATCTGAACTAGAAATACCCTTTACTAAACCCTAAGCTAGAAATACCCTTTACTAAACCCTAAACCCTAAACTCCTAAAGCATACCCCAACAGCCCATTCTTAGGACCCTGTATTTCAAAACCCGTATGTTTGGAACCCTTGACAGTAACCTCAATGCCCTGCTCGAACTGTATACAACCCTGAAAACTGTCGTGTGGGATCCCTATAAGCCCTGAACTCCTTACCCCAGCTTGGCAGCGCGATGCAATCTAGCTTGGGTCCGGGTTGGAGGGTTCAGGTCAGGACTCGATATTTATAATTATGGTACTTAAAGGCTTCGGGTCTAAGACTGTCGGGTCTGTGTACCCCACACCCAAAGGAAGGCCAGGAATATAGTAGCACGATCGACACCCGACCTGATCCAAGATCCCACAGATGCAGCTTTCCAGGTATCGGTGAAGGATATGGCTGCTGCCGGCCGCGGGCGCGGCAACCCCGATGCAGGGCCTGCATCTTGATCGCATTTCCAATCTGGTGCTGTCTTGAGAAAGTGTAAAGCTTGCACGAGACCACAGACACATGTGCACACATACCCATATAAAGTCCGGAAGCCAACGTGACCCGCCCGGCTACATGCCTTCCAGATGGCTCGCATCATCTGTAGATTGAGATGTATCTTGGCGGTGCTGATTGGGCTGTCAGTGTCTTGGGAGATTGTGTTGGCTGGCTGCTTCTGATTCTATGTTCAGGGCTTCGGGGTCACTTGCACTTGCAAACTGGGCCCTATGGGTTGAGAATCCTGTGTTTTCAAGGTTGTATAGGGGTATGGTACGGTTTCGGATCCTAGCTACTATTTGACAACCCTAATGTCAAGCGCCCTGGGTGCTGAGACGATACATGCATGCATGCGTGTGTATGTGTCTGTGTGTGCCTATGCATGTGTGTATGCAGCGTAGAGTGTACTTTGTATGCATGTGTGCGTCTAACTGTGGGAGTGACCCATGCAAACCTGAACTAGCCGACGCAGTGTCGGACCAAAAGCCTGTTGGCCCATCTCCGAAAACCAATCTGGACAAGGCTCCGGTTCATGCACCAGTGCCAGCGCCGACTATTCCTGCTGCTGGGTGTGTCAAGTGGGGTGGAGTGAAATTGTCTTCATCTTAACATCTGCTCAGCTTCGGCTTCAATTGACCTGACCTGACTCTAATTACTTACATGAGGAAAGTTGTTTGGGGGTTTGATGAGACTTAGCCAAGGCACCCATGGTCTCTGATAAAACAACTGGCGATTCTGAGAATGCCGATGGCAATGATGCTCAGGCCCGGGTATGTTGAATACTGGGATCGGTTAAAACCGAATATACTGTCTGTGTGAAACCAACAACAACACTAAACACCCTTACTGCTATTATTATGCTGATGAAATTCAGGACATCGTGTCCGATGGATCGCAACAGATGTTC